TAACTGGACAGAATAAATTAAAGTTTTCTACACTCCTAGACACTATAATTGCACAAAAAATAGTTTATAAATGCAAAAAAGTGCATTTAGCATGATATGTCTCCTTTAAGACCCGTGGTGAMCATGCCTTCTCCTCTGTGGCCCCCAGGCTATGGAATGAACTCCCTTTTAATCTGCGCTCCCTTGATAACATTGTCTCCTTCAAGAAACACCTAAAAACCCACTTTGTTTACTCAAGCGTATAGCTAACCACTCACCATTAATGCCAACCTACCTCCATAGTGAATGCTTGCCAACTATGTGTTTTTCTATTATTGAACATCAGGCAAAGTTTTTCTCTCCCCCATTCTCTATGTTGTGTATTACTAGTATATTTTGCTCTGCATTGACCGTGTGTCTGAGTTACAATTTTAGAATTTAATCTTGATTGGATGTTTCATCACGTTGCTTATGTTTTTTTTATATTTTTTATATTTTATTCTGTTTCATTTTATCTTTCCACCATTTTTCATTGTTAGTGATTGTACAGCACCTTGTGAATATATTTCTGTGAAAGGCACTTTATACAGTAGATAAAACTTTACTTACTTAATAGATGATACAAGATCTTTGTTTAGAACTCTATCATGCAAAAGGGCAAGTGATATACTGTACATTCCTTCAGACAAGTCTGAAATTTTGTGATATGCAGGGTATTTACCAAGAGACTCGGTTCAAGATAAATCAAAGTTTATTCTGTATTTTTATTTTAAAGGGTCTAATTAGTGCAGCTACCAGGACAGTTATCAGAAACTTGCTTGTGGACAAAAAAAAAAAGTTCAGGAACTGTTGCACCACAAAGAAGAATTAAGAGACACAGCGTGCGCTTCAGTTTACCGCGTGGCCCCCGCTGCTCTGCTATCAAATCCTCCCTCCGTTTACCCCTCCTCCAACCCTCCTGCTGCCTCCACAATGAAATCCGTCAAGGTGAGGAGACTGCCCAATCCTTTTCTTTCATTAGAAAACAGGGAGAAGGAGTAAAGCACAAGCACACACGGGAGCACAAATGAACTGTTTAATCAAGAAACATTTTACCTGTGTGTCTGAAGTTGCCATGGAGATTTTGTGCAGACACGTGGAGCCGTGCTTAATGGTCTGACCTTAACCTTGCTCTTTCACAATGGCATACAGACACACAGCTGTTTTTTCCAGCATACATCAAGAAAAAGCTAGAGAACTGCGTTTTCTGTGATAACACAGTATGCATGCTGAGTGCTACATGACTTTGCTGAAATTTGCTGAAGAAGCTGAAATGGAGAACACCGCTTAAGGCCCTGTTTACTTGACGCCATTTTTAAGTGAAGCCGAAGCATTTCTGCTATGTATTCACAACTATATTTGTTTTACACTACACTTCATTTTCTCTCACATTGAATGGTTTTTAATCAGATCTCAGAGTGGAGTTTTTTGGAAATGCCCAGCATCAGTGGGAAATTGTGCACTGTGGATGGCTGCAGTTAGGTTTTTTTGCACTGTGAGAAGATAAACAACAGTAACAATGGTGGATAGCAGAAAGCTGTTTGTGCTACTCATCCTTTTCCACATGTAGGAACAAACCAAACTCATCTTTGTTCCTAATAAATATTTGTGCACGCTTCTTGTTAGCCAGCTGGTGATCATAATGGAAAATAGTATGAAATCCTTTAAAGTATGTGATCCATCTCTAAACTGACAGGACAAGGAGGAAAGCTAAGAGGCTTATTGCAGATAGCTCTCACCCCCTTTTTGGTCAGTTTGAGCCTCAGAAGTCTTGAGAGGCTTCAGAGTTCCTCTGGCAAAAAGTGTTTTTAAAAGGTTTTTTGTTTCAAACACTTTTCTCAGTCAAACGAAGTGATAACATACAGTACATGACTGAGCTGCTGGGGGGTTGTTTCTGATTCATTGTATGAATGTGTTTTTTATAAACTTGTGTGTGATGYGCTTATAGGCCTGTTGCGATTGCCTGTTGTCTATCAGATAGACAATAAATCAATTGATCGCGCAATCAAAAAAATGTGGTTGATCATTTTTATTTGTCTGCTTGTTTGTTTTTTGTCTCCCCCTTTTCTACTCTTTAGCGTAGGGAGGAGTGAATCTATGGTCTCTAACCTCTGAAGCATGAGAGCCCCGTAAACAGGCATTTAGMTAGAGGAGCATCATCAGTTTTCCAATGCCTTCTTTCAGCTGGCGACGCCTCAGGACTTCRTCAGGGCACCGTGCCAAACCTTGGCTTAGCCACAAGATTGTTTTGATTTTTACACCAYGTATATTTTGTAAAATTCCATAAACTTGATAGCTAAAATCAAAAAGTTAAAAAAACAATAGCTAACAGCAGCAAAAGGTAAGTCAAAGGTAGCAACGGCCTAGCTACAATCCAAATATGAGCTAAAAGATAAATGCAGCAACAAGCTATCTAAAACTTATACTAGCTGAAAGCAATAAAAGGTTAGCTAAAAAACTATCAAAAAGCAACACTAAGAAAAAGCGTAGCTAAATAAATGCAAAGTAGCAAAGTGGTATCTAGAAGCTAAAAGCAGCAAAGCGCTAGCAACAATCTAAAATGAGTAAAAAGGCTAGCTTAAAGACAGAAGTAGCTGAAAAGTAGCTGAAAGTAGCACAAAGCAARTAAAATGCTACAATAAACAACTGTAGCTAAAAACTAGAAGTAGCAGAAAGAGACAAAAAATAATAGAGCAGCARTATGAAGCAGATTTCAAAGAGAACAATGTTTTGAGAAATTTATAGACAGCTCATCGTGTTTTCCCAGTGGAAAATATTTATGAACACMTTTAAACATTCTGAAAAATATAAAAGTAACAAAACACAAAAGTCCCAGCACACTTCTCTAGTTTAAGCTGAATAGTTTGATGCATGAATAGTCCAAATAGCACAAAGAATGCAGAGATTCTTAGACTGCAAAAAAGTCTGGAAAAAGAAAAAGCAGGAGAACAATATTGTGAATGCTGACTCGGCGTAATCGATAGCACTCTATTCTGCTATGTATTCGTCGCCCACATAAGCAGCTCTCTTCAAAATGTCCCTGCTCTGTTTGAATCGTGTGTGGACTGTTTGTCTGTTGCACATCTCATGTATTTCTCAAGTGGATCCTCCAGGTCCTTGAAGCGCAATTTACAAATGTTTCCCCCTCCCCCAACTGCATTTCTCTTTCTGCCCCTTTTGCCCCTCTGTCCTGTTCTGTCTCTCCTGCAAGCCGAGTCTCTTTCCTGTGTGCTGGGGGGCCGGCGGAGGGGAAGTACACCGAGAAAAGAAAAGCAGTCCCTGAGTTCAAGTGCACGGGCTTAAAGACACAGCTGGTTTTGGCAGACGATTGAAAGATGGCGTGAAAACTGCCGAGGACGAGCAGAACATGAACCCAACGAGAAGGTCGCCGTGCACACAAGAGGCAGCATGGGTGTCGTTTTGTTAACGGAGGGAAATTTTAAAAAATTGCAAACAGGAAAACAGGAAAAATATCTCCTCCCCCTTTTTTCCCTCTCCACATATACTCCCCTCCCAGCTTCAGCTCCCTCCCTCCCTCCTTCTCGCCTCTCCTTCATTGCTATCCTGCATGCATACAAACACGATGACTGATGTCTTCCACCTCCCCTTTGCGTGCTTCGTTTTGTCAGCACCCTTTCTGCACCGCAGACTTTTTTTWAAAAATTTAATCGCTTCGCCTCTGAGTGTCACATATATGGTGGAACCGGACCTGCACAGCAGCTCCAGCACATGCTGTCCCAGACCCAAACCAGCAGCAGCACCAGCACCAGYGGCGGCGGTGGATCAGCCTGCTTCTCACTTTACCGCCTGTGACTTTAGTCACTGCCTTTCCCTCCTGAGCTCTTCCTCGCAGCGCCCACTTCCTTTGTCCACAAGGCATGTTTCCTTTCAAACTGCTGAGTGACACGGGGATGAAGAAAATTATATCTGAGGAAGAGGCAGAGGAGGCAGCAGTGGATAAAATGTGACACTGCTGGCTTCGTCAGAGAGATGGAAGTGAGGATAAGAAGACAAAAAAAATGAACTCATGAATAAGGATGTGGAAGCAGAGAGGAAAAGATCCTGCTGGAATGAGAAATGAAGCACACAGAAAGGTAAAAATGCAACTCTTTTTTAAATATGCTTTACGGTTTCTTATTCGTATTTTGTAAGAAAAGTAAATTATGTTCGCATGTTGTAATTTTTTGTGTGTGTGGATGTGTTCTTGTTGGTGTGTGAAATCCTACTCCTTTTCTCCCGCTTTGGATCGTCTCTCCTGTAAKCCTGCCTTGGCTTTCCCTGGCAGAATAAAAACAGGTTGGCTTAAAGCGAACTTGCCTGAAAATAAGTTTAGTTTGAGCCGAAAGGCTTGGCGTTGGGGCCCAGCTGGGAGGATGAAGGGTTGAGACGCTCACTTTTTTTGTGCCATTGTTGTATCAGTAATGTATACATTAACGTTTGCTGAGTTATCGCTGCTTTATTTGAGCTTTTTTTAAATTCTAATATCTGTTGTTCAGCTTTCAGCTGATATGAAACCAAAGAATAACACAAAGWATTTGAATTATTTAACCATCATCCTCCCAACTCTGGAATCAACACGTCCCACCCTCCACTTCCCGTCACTGTTTGTTTTTGGTCTCAGCATGAATCCCTGTTATGCTCCTCGCAACCAAACCTCATCTGTGTGTGTTTTTCAGCATCGACCAACTCTGTACTTACTGTACGAAACAGCTTTACGCTCTGCACCCTGTGCACACACTCCCTCGCAACCCTCTGCTTCCATTGTTTCGTCTTGATGAGCGATCCTTCACACGTTCTGTGAAATCTCTTCATCCACATCCGCGCTCTTCACAAGTCTGTGCATCTCCATAGTGACTCGAACTCCATAATACTCCAGCGTGCAAACTCACAGAGATGCCCCACTTCTCTTTATTTTCATCACAGAACGCCATGGGTGGGTCGGAATAAATGTGGAGATTATAGTAGTTTTCAGCTCGGAAAGTGAAAATAGACCCAAACGGATGACCGTGATGGGGAGTTCACAGAGTTTTCACAAAGGTGTAAAAAAAGAAAGTTAATTTGTTTTATTTTTTTTGTTATTCATATGCAAAAAAAAAAAATAAAAAAAAAAATAAAACTACAGATATGATTGAAAAACACCATTCTTTGTTTTAGTAATCATTTGTGTTGCATTATTTAAGGAACTATATCTGGTAATAGTTATACTTAATAAAACAAAATAAAAAGGCGGAAATTATACCAACAATTGAATGGGAACACAAAAATTACTTCATTTTTTATAGCAATTTATACCAAGACTTACATTTTTATGAACACATTTAATCACCTTTAGCCAATATGGACTTTTTAATAAAGTGATCAGTGCACAGAAATAATTTAAAATTCTAGTAGTTATATTATAAACCTATTTTTGTGCATTACATTTTTACATGACCTTTTTTCATCCTTGACAAGCTGCTCATTTTATTTACAGGTAATTGATTTAAATATGAACACATATTTAAAAAGTACATGCTATAAACCAAGGTGTTGTTTTCAACCTGCTAAACAATAAAGTTTCAGTCGCAGTTTGCTGCAGTTTTCATGAAATTGAACAAAAAGATATTTTTATTCATGCTTTTTTTCATTTTTATTTTTTTGCATTGTGAAAGGGAGATGGTTCCCAGCAGTCTGTTATTGATATAGTTGCCGATCCATTTAGGTATTTTTCTGACCACTTCAGCTCTAAAAATATCTGAGGAATAATTAGGATGATTATGCAGGAGAGTGACCTTAATGCCTGTATGAGTGAGTGCTATCTCTCGGCGAGAGCGTGAGGTGGCTCGACAACAGCTACAGTAATAATTTGTGGTACTTATCCTTTACAGTTATTTTGGAGCGATCACTCTGCACCTTCTGACCCAATACACCTGAGAGTTAATGTTTTTTACTCACATTTACAGCCTACATGGCATTTAATATCTCAATTAAATGTCTTTTTCTTTACTTTTTACATAAAAATGTAAAAAAAAAAAGGTTTCTCTTTCTTTCTGATTATAATTTTACTGTTATTCATACATTAAGGTTCTTCAAAATGTTCGTTTTGGTCACAATTGAAAACATTAGGTCATTTGAAGTGAGACTCTTTGGGAAGGTTATGAGCAAAAAAATATCTTACCTGTTGTAGAAAGCTCTTTGAGTGACCTCAGTTTGAGGAAATAGTTTAATTATGACCAACAARACAAGCTAACAACTAGTTTGAGTGGAGCCAAGACCAAAGTTGAACCCTTACATCACTTTTAGTTTTATATAACAGGGTTATTCTGACTTAAATAATATATTTCTGCCAGAAATGCCTTAGGATGTTTCAAAAATGTTCTAACTGTTACAGCTATTCGCCTTTGCAACAAAGCAAACAATGTAAAAAATAAAGAGTAATTTTGAAATTGACAGGAATGTAAAAATGAATAAATTAGAATTTGTAAAAACCACTATGACATTTTTAAAAGTTTAGTTAATTTAAGGCAGAGGCAGTCCACTTTGTTCTTAGCCTATTTGTCAGTATGGTCAGAATTAAACTTTTAAAACCCAATTTATCCAAACTGAGCCTGGTCAAAGTCTTATCTCCATCATATAAGATCTTAATTGTTAATCTGTTCACAGGACCACATGTCAAAAATCTGAATTATCTCTTTAGCATGTTTGTGCTGATTCAGGTGAATCAAAATTTAGATTTTTATTAAACTTAAAAGCAGAAAAAGCCTAAAGCAACAGCTGTGAACGGCTAAAATMAAAAAGCTTTTATTCAGATCGCAACACTGATCTGAGCGTTTGAAACATTCTGTGCTTCACCACAGGACCACTTTGATGTCACAATACTGAATACTTTGGCAGAAATAATGGATTGCCATGGGTTGTCGGGATAAAAAGAATCCAACGGTTACTTAAAACCTTTTCAACTCGATGTCGCCACTTACTGATCCCAGCACATCTAAACATTCYGAGTGGACAGGAAGCCATTAATGTGCTTCACTTTATAAAACATAACTCGCCCTTCGCTATCAATTATGTAGTTCTGGTGTGAAAGAGATGGGAAGAGGGCCACACACACGACAGGCAGCGAGGTCCGGCGTGGGGAGAAAGCRCCGCACCACGTGACCGGCTGCTGTAGTTGTGCTCGCGCTCTCTCACGGCCTGAGTGAGAGCTATTCCCCGCGGACCAGTGTTCCAGTTGCATCAGTGTTTGTCTGCCTTCTCTGGGACGTGGGGGCTGAAATAGGGTTGAAACTGAGAGAGCTCCATCTGGATACCCAAAGGGCTTTTCTACGTTATTAGTACGGYGCAGATAATATTTCTTTCTATTGCACAAGACCCAAAAGTCCTGCACCAGTTGAAACCTCTAACTGGTCTGGTGTTTCATGCTGCATGAGGTGTATACTGGGATATTTATTCATATTTTTCATATCTGACACAAATAATGTTTGTTAACCAACTGAACAAATAACATCATACACTCCGTGAAGGAATGCATATCACCCACCGCATTGCATGCCAGAGTTTTAGACTAAAAACATCTCAATGAGAAATGAAAAAGTTATAACCATTTTGGTTAAATCTTGAAAATAACATTGTTGCAATATCTTGTGGGATCTTAGCTYTTTGGAGCAAATGTATTAATGATCAAGCTACAATCATAATTTCTATGACTGTTTGAAAGATTCAATGAAGTATGGCTATTTTTGGTAAACTAATTTTGGTTAACTGCGATGGCCTTCTTGAATTGACTTAAAAAATAATCAGTTGTATATCTAAGAAGTGTTTTCCATGAGTTTAATTCATCCAATAGTTTATGAGATATTTTGCTCCAGACAAACAGGGTTAACCAATTGTTAATGTCAAGGTGTTAAGAAAAGATAASATACAAGATATTTTCTGGGGATGATGTTCAGCTACTACCAAACCAAATTTTAGCTCAATATATGTAAAATTGGTAGAGTCATATTGTCTAAAATCAGTTAGCATTGGCAGCCATCTTGAATTGGCTTGAGTCCAATGTTTAATTAGTTGTAGAGGTACACCCAATGATTACTTCCTGAAAGTTTCATTAAAATCCATTCAGTGTTTTCTAAGATATTTTGGTAACAAAAAAAGTTAATTCTAATAGTCAAAGGCACACAAACACACTCATACACACACTCACATTGAGACATAGGGGAAAACACTATCATTGGTTAATAGTAACTATTGTGAAAAATACTATTCTCTGCGATACAGTGCATAAAATAACCAGTTTATATCACTTTGACCATGATTTAATATCACTTATTACAATAACATTTTTTATTACCACGAAATTAATATTAGTAATTGTTTTTAGGAGATTTGTAGTACGATGCCAATTTGTATGCTTTCAMTTTAATTTAGTAATTTAGTTACATCAGGAATTTTCACTTGAGTTGAACGCTTTGATTTTTTTTATCCCCAATAAATCCAGTTCTTTTATAGATATTTTATACATGTCAGATCAAAACTGACAGTCAACAGATGAAAGATAATTATTTGAAGCAAAGCAACATTAAATCAGCATGGCTACAGTACCAAAATATTAAAAGATAATAGCATCACTACATGATGAAAATGCTGAATATATGATAAAGATAGAACAGCAAAAGCATTCCGAGGTGTACTTTGTTCACCTGAGATCTGACAAGTTGCACATAAATGTGCTTACTGTTTTCAGTCACAGCTGGTGTCATAATACTGTACATTAAAAATTACATCAAGTAAATCACTGTAAAATAGTACAGATTGTCTGAATCAAACCAAACAACACAATTAGATTAAATGAAACGTGAAGCATGACAAAGTAAACATAAAATAACAATTGGAAGATCAACTTTATTATTATAGTTCAATATCCTGCACATCAGTCTCCTGTACTGCGGGGTGCCAAGTGTAACATAAAATGTTAAAAATATCACTAACACATTTTCACTATTAAGCTCACTTTCTTAGTGTTACRATTTTCCATTAACTCTTTTTTTGTTATTTTGCTCATTGTTCTTACATTTTACTAAGTTTTACTAAATGTTTAATTTAAATGTTAAAAAAAACG